TTCTCCTATTCCGGGCTGGGGCCGTAGTACCTCCATTATTGTGCGTGAACTCGTAACCCCGGATGCACCTACTTTCAAATCCTGAAAAATAAAAATTTGTCTGCAGTTCGTAGATAGATTCTACCTACCATCAATTTCTACCCATATACTTACTGTAGATGGTAAATACACCACTCGCGATAATTTCGTGAATAATTGCCGTTATGAAACTTTTTTGCAATGTTATAATGTGCGTCATTTGTCCATCTCAGCGTGACTTGCTTGCGTAGATACTTGTGACGTATCTTAAATATGATATACCGCTATATGTACTGTAAAAATATTGGCCTAATGTTTCACTAGGTAACTATCATATATTTAGTTACCCTCGTGTTTATGAACTTAAAAAAATATATTTTAGAAGTTATACGTTATGTTCACACCACTTATGTATGCAAAACGTATCAATTTTCACGGCGGTCTGGGTATTTCTAGTCAGACTTTTGATGTCACTATTTGTTAATTTGCAGTGCATTAACAATTATATTTTATTAAGGAAGTTGAAGTTTATTTATGAATATACAGGCCTTATTAAAACACACAATGGACATCATGTAGTTTGGCCTTCTCCAACTAGTGCACTTTGCGGACATCTTCTCTTTTGAGATTCGTACGTTAGGTTTATCAAGGTGGGACTCTCATTCAAAACACACCTTTCGCATCGATCATTGGTTCTGAAACTGTTTTTAATGGCCGAAGCTCTGCTGTTACTCTAGCTTATTTTATTTGTATTCTGTTACTTTAAAAAAACTATATCATGTATAATTGGTTTCTTAGTAATAAAATATGAAACTAAAGTATTTGTATTATGTTTTTAGTCGTGGGATGCGTTTTTCCGCAATGCGACGGCCGGAGCTCAGCCTGGCACAGCTTACACAGCGCCGCCAAACCTCGCGCCCTACAACAAGAACGAAGTCCCTCTTACCTCACTGGTACCAGCTGGTGCTGGCATGCCATCCATTGCTGCAGGTTTGTTCTTCACACTGATAGAATTTTTTTTTAGAAAACAAGCAATTTAAAATATTTGTCATTCACTTTTTGCCAGTGGTGACTTTTATTTGTTATAAGTATAAATGCTATTGGTAGGAATTCTGAATTGGGAAAGTCCAATAATATTTTGATCGATCCAGAAAGCTCAAACATTGCAGTCAGAGCCATAAAGATATTCATTGAAATGACTTTGTGTATAAAAGTAACTCTAGTTACATAACCGTTTTTGTTATTTAATTAATTAAATATAAAATTCCTATGTTAACATTTTTCCTATAAATCTTTATTTCCATTCTTTGTCATAGTTTTGTCTAAACACCGCATTCCAAGACGACGGTGTTATTAATAGTTGCGTAATGGTTTTTCCCAGGATCTCCGATTAACGAGAAGATAATCGACGACCATCTAGCTGTGCAGGCTATCATCAGGAGTTACCAGGTGACCAATGTTCCTGTCTTATATAAGACTTGATTGATGATTCTTGTGATATATTCATTATTGTTTGCACTTTTGGTCCCTTACATGTAACTTGCCTGTTGTTAGGGAGTGGTGACATGAAAAACATTTTACTAAGTAACTTCCATACTGCAAAATTTTCTTTGATAGGAATAATGAATGATTTGTTCTCGTTATCTACTCCCAAACTAAGACATTGTTTTCCCCCTTTGTTTTATTCCCCCTGTAATACACGTTTTATAAAGACTGATAGACTTAGGTTGTGTTTTATCATTATACACATTATTTTTTACGTTACGCCTGTAGGTCGCGCTCATATGTATTATGAAGATAGGATAATTGTTTTTATAAATTATGTTTTTGTATTTTTATTATTGTGTTATCTTATTAAGGCTTAGTATAGCTCAAATGGAAATAGGCATTTACAAAATACAGTCGTTGTTACTGCGTGTGGAACAATTGGCATAGCGGTTTCAAGACTATTCGTTGAACAGGTCTAAATTCTGTGACACGATCTAGCGACGAAAACATCTACCAAGTTTGATAAAGAGGTTTAATGTATGTAAGTGACGTAGGTGGGTGTAGTCGCTAGGTCGTGGATATATGCAATTTGGGCTAAAATGTGATGTGGTGGCGGGTGCGTGACAGGCTCGCGGTCACCTGGCGGCCGACGTGGACCCGCTCGGCATCACGACGGCGAACCTGCCTCAGCTAGGCATGCGCGGCCCAAGCTCCGAGCTCATCATGAGGAAATATTTCAATTTTGGTACGCAGGAGACTACGGAACTGTCGCTCTCGTTAATATGGACGCATCCACAGTCGTATTTCGTTTCGTTATTTTTTCAACATTGCATTGCGTGTCATTGATTGTTGTGTTTCGTAAGCGATTTTATAACACACATACATATTATTTATCTAGTCATGCTTGAGAGAGTTGCCACGGGTCACAAGTGGCCTTGAACACTCATGGATAGTCGAAGCTTTTACACCACGCAAATCATTTAACATATAGATGTCAATGCATCATAATTATGTATCACAGTAATAGTGTTGTCCTCAAACTTGAATCGTTTGATTTAATGTGTACAAGACGTGCCTATCTTGTTGTAGATAACACATTTTGTTTAACTACACTGCTTGTGTTATAGAACTGTATGTTAGGAAATTAAATCTTGTATATGCATGTGTGTGATAATATTCGCTGTCGATTAATATCACAAGGTTTTATTTTGCAGTAGTTTTTGTTTTCAAGCCGTTTTAGTCACTTAAACAATCGTAACATTTTATAACCAATTTGTATAAAACCGAATGATAATATAATGCAATAAGTATCATCACTGAATGACGACATCCATCAAACATTTGTTCATGCGAAATAACTCAACCGACCGACGTAAAATGCTAGTCTCAAATAATACAAAAAATTTATTGGAATCAATAACAGCGACTGCCTTAATTTTCTATTCCTTGATAATTATATTATATACTCTGGCGAGCAGTATGCACGTTTATGGGAATATTGAGGCGTTTTCTTAATCCTATGTATGCTGCGTATCAATCTTTAAGCTTCTTCAGTCTCGAGTAACTTTCTACCTACAATACAGATGTACATTATATTCTTATGCATAAAGCAACCAATACCATTATGAGCTCGCTTGATACAAGTATTATGTATATGTATCTGTCTATATATCTGAAGATGCATGATGGGGACAGGTCTTTAATTGTCTTGTTACGAAGATTTTGTTTTACGTTGAATGTAGTCGCGTGGTCACCTAGTGGCGCACTTAGACCCGCTGGGCATCGCCGTCGGGGACCCCATATCGAGCAACGAATGGCACGGAGGGTTACGAGCCTTCGCTAACGAGGCAGTCATTAGACAACACGTCAGATTTGGTATGGACGATCTAAATCTATCAAGTATTCGACTGGACAACGCTGATGTCAAATGGACTTCGCAATTATACATCATTAGTGCTACGATAAGATAATTCGTGAGAATCGTTAACCCAAACAAACAATTAATTAGTTTCCTACGTAGTAAACATCTGTCCAATTGACATCGTCACGGTTCGAGTGTTGAGTAATGCGTTACTTGAAACTTGTGCTGTGTTCCGCTACACGAACGACATAAACGCTAAGCGGAATAGTGTAAGCGAATTGAGAAAAATTGATGTACGAGATTGACATTGATGACATTGTTGTTGATGTTAATCCTGAACATTCATTTTCCTATTCAAACCGATTCGATTAGCGTTTATGCCATTTGTCCAGTGGGACTGTAGGGGGTTAGTTTCGGTTATCACTCCTCGCACCGGCTGTCTGCGGATATATCCTTATGTATTCGTCCACTCGCGTATCTCTACACTTTCCTCTACCAGACATAGTTAGTTCTGCTTAATGGTGCTTGGTTTGTAGTTGTTTGATTCAGTAGTTAAATGGAGATGGCGGAACATTTTAATTAAAACTTCACACAAGTATTTTACACACAAAATTTGATTATTGTTTTATGGAAATAAAGTTGAGACTAGCTTTTTGAAAATATCGGTCATATTATAATACTTACTAAAAGTTACTAATAAAAATATGACTGTTTTAATAACTATATTCTGTTGTTATGTTGCAATATAGATAATATGTAAACATAATTCTATTAACAAGTTTTGGTTGAGGTAAGGAAACACTGCATAAGACTAAAAGCTTTGTAATCATATTCCTTTACTAGATATTGTATATAGAATGGTTATGTATGTGTAATGAATAAGAATCATTTTAGCAAATGTAGATTATTTAGGTTTAAGTAACACTCGTTCCTACGAACAAACAGCTTTAAATAATTAAGATCACAGTTATATAAATAAAAAAAAACGAAGTCTAAGTCTAAGTTACAATAAAAAGGTTGATAAACATTGTACCTGATAGCTTTTAGTAGTATTTTTCGTAATAGGTAACATTCATGTGATGCGTAAGCGACAGTTTTTTTTTTAACTAGAACAAAGTGAAGTTAATATGTTAATATTTTTTATATTACTTTTGTTTTTATACCTTACATGTTAATCTTTATATACTATTACTAATTTTGTCAATGTATTATATGTGTACATGTTTTTATATTCTTACTTTAAATATTTGTGTTGCCAATGTTGACGGTAAATTTTGCATGCAACACAGTTTTTTAGGTAAATAAAAGTATAACTTTTAGAGCGCAATAAGGGCTAAATTACTGATTTGTAGGTAGGATATCTCATAATTATGATCACTGATACCTGCTTCATTTATCACGCAGGCTTATCCACTGTTATATTTTATTTCTTTTCCAAGAGTAATAGAGGTGATGGCACCGAGTCAATGCAAAGCTTTTTTGAAATGTCGTAAACATTACATTTATTGTTTTTTGTGAAACTTATTTTTAAATAAATTTTTGATAGTAAATGCTAAATGTAGGTACCTAAACTTAAAATTGAATCAATCAATGAGAATATCGTTATAATTACACACTTATTAGGCTAAAAATATTTTTTGACTGAGTCATCATCCCTATTATGTATACTTACCTTTTTTAAGTAGTTTATGTACATATTATACCTTGTGCCATAAAAGCCAAAATAACATATGAAACCCATCAACAAACGAATGAAACATGCCTCCAGCTATATTATAATACAGCAAAGAAAATTGTATTTATTATTATTTGCTTTTTATATTGTTTTATTTGATTACTAACCGAAGTATAAGCAGTAACATAATACACGCTAAATGAGAATGTTGTGCACTAAAAAACAGATCCGAGGACATCACATAGCCAACCTCGACCCGTTGGAAATAGCGAACAGCGCTTTGATCGGTAAAAACAAACGGGAGGTGATTCACAACAGCTACCGGTTTGGTAAGAATTACGAGAACCTGAAGTACAGAAAGCACCATGGTCGCTCGTTGTCTCATACGTAGGTAGTTATGGCGGCGAAGCAATCTTCCTCTACAATTTTCCATTTGCAACAAATAGTTAAACCACACCCACATCATGTCACATTGCTGATATGATGTTACGTCAAGTTACGTGGGCTTCCCCATATCAGATTTTGTGCCTAGGTAACTAATCAATGAGGATTTGGCTTTAAATTATTAACTGATTTTATTGTTTTGTTGTTGCAGTCGGATTATTTAGACTTTTTATGAACAGAATTTATCAGCAATGTTAACGCAATGTCATTTTGTAAATGGAATTTCTTTTATTTTTATTTGCATTTATTTTTAATTTGATGTCTGTTCGTAAATCGATTCGGAAGCTGGTGGCCATAACTACAAATTCATAAAGAAATGTGGATGTAACGCACAGGTCCTCGGCTCGCACGCGCTGTTGCTCATCTCTATGACCATCAAAGTATTCACGATATGCACGATACCCATATGGTTTATCTATTACTATGATATTATTTGCATGCCTGTATTTACTAGATTGTATGAATTAGCATGTACTTATATAACTACTGCATGAATATATTGTATTTGTATCTATTTAATATCCTTTACTTATCTTATTATCATAATAAAAATATATTGCCAATTGGTCGTGGTTTATACAAATAGAAAAGTAGTATATACGTAATTGTTTGGCATTGATGATGTGCTGTTTACTTCATTCTCGGCGTTGGACTGTGGCCAGAGAATTCAAATGTGAAGTATACATATGTAGCTATAGTTATATGTACAACACTGTTGCACATCATAGATTTTTCATTTGTATATTGTACCATCTTATACATAAACTTGTAAGTATATATAATTGTAAATGTAGTGTTTTCGTAAGGGCGTTGTAAAGTGGGATAATGTTGGTTTGATACAGTGAAACTAGTAAAGGGATATGATAAAATTTAAACTTGCTTCATTGTCTGCTTTACCGGAAAGGTTCGTCTAAATATATTGCATCTTGGGTATTAAAGGATTTTTTCAACGTTCGTACTCTGATTGCCTGTTGTATGTTTTAGATGAAGCCGATATGGACAGAGTTTTCAAATTACCATCCACTACTTTTATTGGTGAAAAAGAGAAAGCGTTGCCGTTGAGGTGAGTTTCTTATTCGACATTTTTGAAACGTATAAAAAAGTAAAAATTGTTACTAATATTTAATCTTAAGAAATTTCGAAATGTTGGTAGGATTGATAACAGAGCTCATATATCATAGACCCGGATGATGCAAAGCGCGTTATATTATTTATCTGTTTTGAAATTCTCAGTCTATCAGGTTGCAATAGAAATGATATCTCCAATATGACGACACTGTGCATTATATTTTATTGAGGAAAACGTGAATGTTTCTTTGAGTTTAAACAAATGTTATGAAGTGTGGGAGAGCCATGCCTCAGCACAATTATACCGTCTCGACCGGGATGATACCATAATTTCATAGAAAACCTGCTTGCTTTGCGTTTCGCTGTATATGCTCAAAACTCCCCCTCCAATACCTATTTCACAAATTCCATAAAGTTGGCAATGCACTTGCAACTTCTTTTGGTGTTGCGTGTGTCAATGGGCGGTTATTGCTAAAGATAGAAGTCAGTTAGATTGCAGTATGACGTAATAAAAAAAATTTACGATAAAGCCATGATATTGTACTCAATAATTTGAATACGCAGTTAGTCGTTAGACATAAGTTTATCATATTTGGATAGCTCCTAAAATGCTGCCGCAGGTGCACATGGCTAGTCAGTTCTGATAAGGGTACGATATCAGTATTATTGTCACCTTCACCTTGCCTCGATGGCGGCCGTCACGTTTATCGTTATCGATACTCACTACAGCTGATTGGAAATTACCCGACTCAAGGGACCAATACAAAGATCATTGTTTCCGCTATTTACTTAGAATGGGATCTATAAAACGCAGTATAAGCGTTTAAACTGCTCTATAATTCTTCACGATGATTGGTTTTACGATTTGCGTTGTGGTATTGAATACAATGCTAAGAATATTATGCACGGTTTTATGCTTATGTATGCGCCATTATAATTATAGCCACATAACCTTTTTCATGGAAAGCCGTTACTGGTTTTCTATACGCCGTTATTTCTGGCTTCTATTATTTTTCATTTATTAAAAAACATGAAAATATATAACCGTATTCGAAGCCTCTCCAATCTAATCTTCAGGCAATCGTTTAGTAATACACAATAACAATAATGTAATAAACTTTAAAAATACAAGGAGTTGCTTATCACAGCCACGCCTCCAAAACTCTAATGATATTAGGCGTGACGCAATAAGTAGTAAATTGCAAGTTGAAATATTGTGTTAAATCATCATGATCATTAGTAAATTCCTTATCAAACGAATTCCCATTGTATGATTTTGGGATAAAATTATACAAAATAAATCTTTTGAATCGTAGTTAGGTAGCAATTTTTAATATCCATCTTGGGTCTTCAGCATTAGGTCCTACCTAGTTGTAAAAAAAACTTTTTTAACAATTTATTAAAGTTCATCGTAATTTCACACATAGCATATTATCAGTTTATAACTGGCTACTGCTAAACAAAGGTCTCAATACGAGAAGGTTTAAGCATTATTCACCACAGTCTCTCAAGGCGATTTCAAACTTTAACAATTAGAAATTATACTACACTAGGAAAGTCACATTGGCACTTGCTACGATTTGAACCCGCACCGTTATACATAAGAAGCTGGAACTTTGATCTCGGGACCATAACACTTTCATATATTTAAATTATGTTTTTAGGGAAATCTTGAACCGTCTGGAGCAGGCTTACTGTAACAACATCGGTATCGAGTTCATGTTCATCAATTCGTTAGAACAATGCAACTGGATCAGGCAGCGTATCGAGCCCCCCAACGTTGGCAAGATGAGCAACGACCAGAAGAGGCTGATCCTCGCTCGTCTCACCAGATCTGCTGGGTAAGTGTCCTGTTAACGTTATTGCCGAAAGAGATGCAAAATCTTAAGTCACTGTTAAGTACGTTAACCGACGCTTTTATGGTTCCCCAACCACGATAATTAAAGAAAAGCTCTATTTTATGTACGTACAAGAGTATTCTAAAATACCATAAATAACTTTTGATATATTCTTCTTCCAACACATTGGTTTAGTTACAAACCAGTGACACAGTTACGATAACTAATCTACCATAAATTTTTTGCTTTCAAACTTGTGTGTATGCGTGAATATTAACACTTGATACGAGTGCAACCTCTTCACGCACTATTGTTATCATTGCATTATGTAATTAAGTTAGAAATGCTATTGTGCGTCGGTAAATACATGTGTAACTGTTGTATGCATTACCTGACGACAGTGCAGTGTAAATAGTTGCTGATAAGACGCCTAGCAATATAATACATCGAGTAATTTTCATGAAAATTGTATATACTAGTTTCATGTGTTCTGCTGGCCCGCTTTATAGGAATGAAAATAAAACAAAAAGATGTATTATTATTTTCAAATTCAAAATATATTTCAAATCCGAATGTTGTGAAAACGGCAGCAAAGGTTGTATGATGCAGTCCTCTTTAAATTTTTAAAATGTTATCCAATTAAGCCTGTTTTTTTAAACCTATTATGCTTGTTTTTGTGGCAATTGTTTTTCGAAATAATATTTAAAATTCGGTATTTTCACACAATCATAAAGGGTAAAAAGGTTCTAAATTCAAAAATTCAAGGATTTTTCAAAATTGAGCTATTTTAAGACCTCCTTAAAAGAGATTTTATAGAGAGTGACTAAATGTTTGCTCTAGAATAAATTAATAATAATTACATAATTTTATTCAATATAGATTCGAAAACTTCTTGGCGAAGAAATGGTCTTCAGAGAAACGTTTCGGTCTGGAGGGTTGCGAGATCTTGATCCCAGCGATGAAGCAGGTCATCGACGTCTCCACGCGCCTCGGAGTCGAGTCTATCATCATGGGCATGCCTCACAGAGGTACAAAATCCAATAAAATACTACCTAGTAAACAAAAGAATAAACTGCACATTTCTTAATAATTCTATTGTTTATTACTTATAACGATAATAATGATTCAAAATGCATTAACACAGGAGGTATTTGATGTCAATATGTTCTATAGATAGGAATTGTTATTGTTTTTTTCGGTTTTATCCATCAGGTCGTTTGAACGTCGTCGCCAACGTGTGCCGCAAGCCCCTTCACCAGCTATTCACACAGTTCGCCGCTCTCGAAGCTGAAGATGACGTAAGTATATTTTAGATACTTGAAGCTTAGATTCATAACTTCTCCGTTACAAAAATGGCGTAGTGTACTAGTATTTGTACACTAACGGCTTTTGTAGCCACGTATGTATAATAATAATTATTATTTTTCTTAATACATATTTAATAATAATAATTTCTTGAAAACAGGGCTCCGGTGATGTGAAGTACCACTTGGGTACATACATCGAGCGTCTGAACCGCGTGACGAACAAGAACATCCGCTTGGCAGTATGCGCCAATCCATCCCACTTGGAGGCGGTTGACCCGGTCGTACAGGGCAAGTGCCGAGCTGAGCAATTCTACCGCGGTGACAACGAGGGCAAGAAGGTTTGGGAACATTATCCGCAATATTTCATAGCTTTTTTTCTTGTTGATTTGGTTCATTGATTGAGTGGTTACAAGCATAGCTATCGGAGCATGGCTTTTCATATGTTAATTCACTATTTTTGGAAGTCATGAGTGTCTAATAAGATGGAACTAAGAATTGTACCCCAGGGAACGATAGACCCGCTCCCTTAATCTCGCAATAGTTTTTTTACGAATTAAAGATTCCTGTGTTTCAGGGGTATAATTATTGTCATAGGGTAGGGTATAACTTCAGACTCGGATAATTTCAACAACCAGAAGTAGTTGGCTCAATTTCAATGGTCACAGTTGCACTCGCATTTAAGTTATTTTTTTTTTCATAGCTACCTCATGTAAACTGTTATTAATTGTACGTGCAGGTAATGTCCCTCCTGCTGCACGGTGACGCGGCGTTCGCCGGACAGGGCGTGGTGTTCGAGACGATGCATCTGTCGGACCTGCCCGCCTACACCACGCACGGCACCATACACATCGTCGTCAACAACCAGATCGGATTCACCACTGACCCCAGGCACTCGCGCTCCTCTGCTTACTGTACAGGTTTGTACACTCAGTTATTTAAGGAAAAATATGATGGGAATCAAAATTCTGATATTTGTATCACTTTACTTACTAAGAGGTTGAAAATTAGTGCTAAAACGGCTTCTGTTTATTCCTAAGTTCAATTTAGATTGTAACTACAAAATGTAATAAATAATATATCGGGTCTTTATGAACTGGGTAGTTTCGTATTTCAAACAACGAAAGAAAGCGATGAGTTCAATTCAGCTATTAATTTTGTTGCCTACGTTTTAGTATATAGTCTTATAACAACTAGCTAACGCCCGTAGCTTCGCCCATGTGATGAGAACGTGTGTTTGTAGGAGAACGGATAGTTATATCTAGTTTGTGTTGTCAGACGTGGCGCGCGTGGTGAACGCTCCGATCTTCCACGTGAACGGCGACAACCCGGAGGCCGTGATGCACGTGTGCAACGTGGCGGCCGAGTGGCGCGCCACCTTCCACAAGGACGTCGTCATCGACATCGTCAGCTACCGCAGGAACGGACACAACGAGATCGACGAGCCCATGTTCACGCAGCCTCTCATGTACCAGAAGATCCACAACACTAAGCCAGGTAACTGACACAAATCTAATAAACTATAGTTTTTTTTATAAAAAAGGTATATTTAAGAAGTAGTTAATGACAGTTAAAATTATAATTCGCGTACTATATCAGTGTTATATTCAAACAGGAGTGCTCATTTTGCTCTATTCCCTCGAATTAAACCATTCGAGTCAGTGCACTAATTGAATTCTATATCCATCGACAGTTCTGGAGAAATACGCCGACCAGCTGATCAGCGAGGGCGTCGTCACCGCTGCGGAAGTAAAGGACGTCAAGGACAAATACGAGAAGATCTGTGAGGACGCATACACACAGGCCAAGCAGGAGACACACATCAAGTTCAAGGACTGGCTCGACTCGCCCTGGTCTGGCTTCTTCGAGGGCAAGGACCCGCTTAAGGTAAACGTCTAATTATTGTGGCTAACTTTTTGGTGAGATAATATGATTATGAGGCTAAGTTGCTGACATCTGTGGAATATATGCGTGTCCAATTTTTTCACGAACATATTGATTCAATTAACGAACACTTGCTTCGGGTCCAATTCCAGTCTTTCGTTTCGAAAACAATAATGAAGTCTTTTCACCTCTTCAGATGTCCCCAACTGGTGTGGTAGAAGAGACCCTGGTGCACATTGGCAAGCGTTTCTCTTCGCCCCCTCCCAACGCGGCCGAGTTCGAGATCCACAAGGGTCTGCTCCGTATCCTGAAGGCGCGTATGGCCATGGTGGAGAACAGACAGGTAGACTGGGCGCTGGGTGAGGCCATGGCCTTCGGATCCCTGCTCAAGGAAGGCATCCACGTCAGACTGTCCGGCGAGGACGTCGAGCGTGGAACTTTCTCACACAGGTATATTTTGTATTTTATTTTTCATTTCTGCATGAGCCATTTGTATTCCACTTTCTTTTTTTTTATGGTATATGTCTGCAAACTAGCAGATGGTAAGCAATCGGCGCTGCCCAAGGACACCCGCAACACCAAAGTAGTTACGTAGTACGAGTGCGTTGCCGGCCTTTTGGGGATAAGGGTTACGGATATTTAAGGATTTGGAAGGGATAGGGGACAAGGAAGGATTGGGCCTCCGGTAACCTCACTCACACGGCGAAACACAACGCTGTGATTGTTTCACGCCGGTTTTCTGTAGGGCGTGATATCGCTCCGGTCGAGCTGACCCATTTGTGCCGAAGCTTGGCTCTCCCACACTTATATTATTCTTATCATCTATATCATCGTTCCGTGTTGACTGTATGTCCTGTCCCCAGACATCACGTGCTCCACCACCAGAAGGTGGACAAGGCAACATACTGCTCCCTGTGCCACCTGTACCCCGACCAGGCTCCCTACACTGTCTGCAACAGCTCACTCTCTGAATACGGTAAGTAAACATAAGAAACTTGTTTAAGATATTTTAAATGTATGAGTAGACCTGCGTCCTGATTTTCCAAATGTCCAAAAAATTTTCCAAATTTAATTCCGCATATGTGCCCATTGTACATGAAGTTTAAAGAAGTAAATAAAAATAAAGCATTATTTTATCACAGCCGTGCTCGGTTTCGAGGTGGGTTACTCGATGACAAACCCGAACGCCTTGGTACTGTGGGAGGCTCAGTTCGGAGACTTTAACAACTGCGCGCAGTGCATCATCGACCAGTTCATCTGCAGCGGACAGGCCAAGTGGGTGCGACAGTCCGGACTCGTACTCTTGTTGCCTCACGGCATGGAGGGCATGGTGAGCATACTTTTTCCATTCAAGTATTATTATTACTTACCATCATTGATACCAGCGGGAAGACGTCCACAGCTGGACGAAAGCATAGCATTGTATATTACAAGGTGGATAGACTTGACAGGTAAGGTGTGAAAACCGCGGTTAAAAAAAGATTTGAATACAGTAGTCATTATCAGAGCTTAAAACAACCCATTCACATAGCAATGATCATTTATTGTAAAATTGAAAATGTTTACTGTTTACAGGGCCCCGAGCACTCCTCAGCCAGGCCGGAGAGATTCCTCCAGATGTGCGCTGACGACCCCGACTACATGCCCCCCGAGAGCCCCGACTATGAAGGTACGTCATTATTTGTTGGACCATTACAAATTGCAGATAAAAATCTTTTGAAAAGACTTTTCATTATACCATTGGAACAGCATTGTTAAGTTTACCATCCATTACAATAATGTATACAAATATACTCTGTAATTTCTATTCGTATCTAAAGTATGACACAAATCCATGAACTAAGTCTGTGTTTGTTGACAGTGCGTCAGCTCCACGACTGCAACTGGATCGTGGCGAACTGCTCGACCCCGGCTTCGTACTTCCACATCCTGCGACGACAGATCGCACTTCCCTTCCGCAAGCCTCTCATCCTTATGACCCCCAAGTCTCTGCTGCGTCACCCCGAGGCCAAGTCCTCATTCGATGAAATGAAGGATGGCTCAAGCTTCAGAAGGTATGTAAGATTGCGGCAAATTGCAAAATTCATTAAACTTTTTGGTGTTTTAACTAATGAAAAGTGACTTGTACTGTGGATACTTAACAATAGTATCACAATTTTATTAATTGAGTTTGCGTTCATCCAGAGTTATCCCCGACGAGGGCGTGGCAGCCCAAGACCCGAACTCAGTGCGCAAGCTGTCGTTCTGCACAGGCCGCGTCTACTACGACCTGCTCAAACACAGGCGCGAAAAGGGTCTTGAAAAGGACATCGCTATTGTCAGGTAATTTTTCTTTGATTCAAAGAGAGTTCCCTCCCTTGCTCTGGCAAAACTTCTTAATTTCGTAAACAAATCGAATGAAAGGTTCCTCAAGACCATGAAAATTTGTCAGTGATTTAGCAATTCTATAAAATGTTGTAATGTTTATGCAGAGTGGAACAAATCTCGCCGTTCCCATACGATCTGATCAAGGCTGAAATTGAGAAGTACCCGAACGCGAACATTGTCTGGAGCCAGGAGGAACACAAGAACTCTGGCTACTGGGGCTATGTGGAGCCACGATTCCGCACACTCTTACAGAACCAGAAGACCGTCAGGTACGTTCACCTATAGATTTTATAAGAATGCTTGAGAACTTTTGATGACTACCATTAATAACCGATTTCAATTGAAAATCGCTTCATCGCACATGGTTTTGGTCAGTAATTCAATAGAACTAATTTAAAAACCAATTTAAGAATGACATCGGTTATTAGTTTCTGTCCCAACTACGTAATAAAACTTTGACTTTAGATGTTGAATTTGTAGAAGCAAAATCTAGCGATAATAAGTTTATTGAGAACAGGTTTCTTTGTAAAATTGAAAATTAAATAAAAAAAGAATAATTTGTTAACATACACATCCTTTTTTTTTTAATTCTAACTTGTTAATAATGTAGAGCTTACAATGCTGAATAGAATTTTGTAATGTATTGTTACTACTGGCTGCTATAAAGACAAGTGAAGGAAAAGGAAATTGCGGCTTGAGTTTCGAATATTCATTTGGGCTTGCATGGTTTTGAAATTTGCATGTATTGTATCATTCAGTAACATTTTTTACAATCCTAAAACAGATCATGTTCGCGTTATCCTGCTTTATTAAATTTCCTTGACATGGTACGCCATAATGTAACTGGCTATTGGTTGCAGAGTAAAGCCACAAAGTGGTAACTGGTTTACTCAGCTTTTCGGCCGGGAAGAGAAGCCTGTCTCAGGCGAGGCTGAACCAGTGCCGCGTACCATTAGGTGAGATCATGGCATATGGCGTTCCTTCCCTTGAATCCCTTATTATTCTGATTTCCCTTTTATCGTTTCATCAAATCACACGCACATATAATCCGGTGTTTGACTAATCTACAATAAACCATTTGAAGTTAATCTAATTTTTATGACATGCTATTCATTTATATATAAATAAAATATAGGTCGGTGCAAATTAAACTTAAATGAACCTTGAGTCTAATTTTAACTATAAATCATTGTGAACAAGAAATACTGTCACATTATTTAAAAAATTTGCTTAATAGATGTTTTGATGCCTTTGTATTTCGTTATGAAATTCAATGATTATCAGTTAATTTATAACCAAGCATTATTTAATGTTAATATACTTCAATTCTTGCTAACTATTGAATGGTGTCACTGAATGAATTTTTGTTATTAAGAAACTCAAGCCGCAATCCGCAATTTTTTTATGTTTTTATTATCCTTTGTTGTGTTCTTTTTTACTTTATGAATGCTTATAAATGTTTGTTGTAAGTTATTTTATAATTATGTATGCATTTATGTAATTAAGTTTAAAGAGCCCAATGGCACGTGCTGCGATGACGAAACCTAATAAGACTTCGTTTATAACAATTATTACGGCGCCTTACCCTGGGCAGTGAATTAATAATTTGATGATTTTCTCCTGACAAAAAAAAATAGTATCAGCATCCTGCTTGCGTAGTTTGTAGCTTTTCAATAATTACAAATAAACAATTAGGATAAATGAATATGATGATCTCAATATTAATATTTTAAATTTGTTCTTATTTTAAGAGACTGTGAAGTGGATTTTTTTTATTATAGCTACCACGGACGTGCTACGGCCGCGGCCCCCGCCACCGGATCCAAGGCAGCTCACAACAAGGAGCTGAGGAACCTTCTCGAAGAGTTCTGCGTGCTATAAGCGATTATTAACACACGAACATACGCGACGGTAGAACGGAATGGCTAGCTTATGCTCCTAATACACATCTCTTAGATAAAAATACAAATAGTCAGCCATTTACGGATCAAAACTGTCCGTGTACACTTTTAGAACGTTACAAACCAACATACTGTTATAGTAGACAACATTTTTATGCCATATTGAAACAAAATCACATTGTAACAGAATCTAAATACCTACGTAATCTATCTCGAAACGTAATTTATCTTTGACATGATCATTTATTTTTGTCGAACGAAATTTATTTTTGTAAAATATTAAAATGTTAATTTTCTCCTTACTCTCAGTATTTTGTTGTAATTCTCTTCATGTTTAGGTAGATTAGTTAGATAAATTATTATTTATTTATTTAATGTAGCGTACGTGATCTGTAGAAACTACATAATTTATTTTTATTGTAAAAGCAATATAACGTAGTCTCCACTTATGATGTTGCGTACTAGATTATAATTACTTACTGAAACAAATGGTACATTAATTACAAAATGGCGATACCTACGCTCGTTGTATTATTTTCATGTACATAAATTTATTATTTTTTTATTCGATTATTTTGTCATTAACGGACTTGAAGTAAAGACGTTCCTTTTGCTAGTCTTGGGGATACGTACATATAAATGGTAAAGTTATTAAGTAGAACAGTAATCGCACTTGGCGAGCGATAAAGTTTAAAATCTCGATTTTATTGTGGGCCTGAGCGGGACTTCTGATGTGTAGCGTTGACGCTCACCGTGCCCCGCGCTCACTTATTGTGATATATTTACAAAGTTATACATTTTACCCATATAATTTTGATATTAAACAAACGTCCGTATAAATAGAGTAACTTACATAAATTAATCGGATTGCTCCGACTCGAAATGGTGAAGTCAAAAGCGGTTATTGAAATTGTAAACCGAATTATTAATTCATTAATAAGTTTTGATTAAAAGTATTGAATATAATCTTTGGTTTCAAATTTTAAGTACCTACTAATACCATTATTTGCTGATACGCTTAATTATCCTTCGCTTGCAAGTGCGATTGTTACCAATACAATAGTTGTGCTTACGGCACTGTACATGAGATATTATTAGTTAGTGAGTAAATGTATGTCTAGTAACTAGGCACCAGTTTAAAGTAAATTGCACCTTAGTACATAAAATGTATGTAATAGTGGTCGTTTTGGTTTGCAACCTCCCGACCCCGCGCATAGGTTTAGTTCGCTGATAGTTACCGCCGTTGTGAACGGCACCTTGTAAGGGATAACACCAACATCCAACGCTTTGTATAAATAAACCGACACATACAATTATATTATCTTGTCTGTAGTCAATCTTCGAATGTATGTCGTTACCTAAAATGTACGTAGTTGTAAAGGAAATCGTAATTGTCTCATATTAGTGACAGGTACCTACTAGCCACGTGTAAAATTAAGCTTTATTCAAACCTAGTATTATGTGACATTCAATCTTAACTTTTAATGCGGTTTAGCTTTCTAACACTATTCGCATGTGTAGGTGCATTGTTTTATTGTTAAATTTAACATATTTTGATGTTCACGTATTTTCGATATTTTATAGGCTCAGGACGCCATTGAAGAAATTCATATTTGATAATAGATATTCTTTTGGCAAGTACTACCTGAGTCATTTATTGCTAAATGTTAGTTTGATTTAGTTATTTACAATAAATATACTTTTAATTGAAATATTTCGTTTCATTCTATCTTACATTTTATACATTGTTCTCGATGTAAAATTCTTAATAATAAAACCAGCCTATAACACCACTATCAGTTTTAGGCAAAAATCAGCTTGTTCTATGAGAATACAAGACGTGAAGCAAAAATATGGAAGAATTTATTATAAGCAGTGACAGTATCAGCTGAACGTTTTAGTGACCTACGGCTAAAATAACGCCAAAATAAAGTGCCTAATATTCTCGAAAATAGTGGCGTGTCGTAATGAAAAGCGCAATAGATGACAGTGTCCTTGAGGTGGCGCGCTCACCGCTGTCTTGGAGCACTTTCAAGATTCTTATCGTGCGCTAGTCTCATTTCAGCGTACAAAGCTGTCACTGCTCCCTATTTATAAAGTGCTTGGCTAGCTGGACCACACCAAAAGGTGCGAAGATTAAAGATGGTATCAGTTCCTAGTGCGTTTTACACGTCACACTGCCACTTCAAAGACGCGCTTGTTTGAATAAACTCTGCGTATTGTGAAGCATCCTTTTTTTCATCATGCGGTCTCGTCATATTCTCGAGATTGTGAGGGCTCGAGGATTTGTAATTAAAGTTGAAGATATTAAAGGCAGGTGTTTATAGATTTAGATAAAAACCTTGCAAGTCATACATACATATTATATGTATGTTCAGCATGTATAAAGTACTCGGATACTCCAAATACTAAACTTGTTGAGGGTACGTAACGGATAACAAAATGTTACAAAAAATAAAACGTGTTGAGTTCTGCTAGCTGGTTTTAAGAAGTGGCCTCGCCCTCCCTACCAACAAAATATACTTAAACTCATATACACTAAAAGACTTTTCAAAATTCCTTAGATCCAACAGCTTCGCTTACGGAAAGTTAGACTTACTGACTAAAAACCACCCATTCCTATGAGGTGATGGATTACTAAGCCGTGGGCGTATGCTTGGCCCTGGTTCTGGTCGAGCTGCTGCAAACCTGATTCTAGGTACCCCCTTTGAAAGATAATTGACAAGGTTATAAGCATTTAAGCCTGGAATGTGCCGATTTATAAAACTTGAAACATAGCACATCTTTCAACACCTTAAAGATGCAAGGTCTTAGCTAAAATTGGAAAACAAATTTTTCATACCTCTTGTACACATCCCTTGTATATTATGTAAAGAGTGTCGTCCTTTGTAGAAGTGAGCCCATGTAAAAATATTTTGATCTCATAGATCTCGCTTGATGGCCTGGTTCAAATTATAATCAGAGTCTTAAGAACGACAGCTCATTATTAGACTTGTTTTTATAACGGCACCACTGTTCGACAAGGAGGAATGGTCAATTTTCATCGTGAAATTGCTGCTTTAGTGAAGCTTGTATGTTGCTATAAAAATCTGAAGAACCAATTTCTCACAATTATTTTGATGTGATTAAAATTAGGTTCTGTTGGTTTATATTTTGAGGGGCAGAGAATCATCACATCTTCAATTTCCCTAGAGCCTAGGTGGTGCGGGAGGCAGTGTGTGAATCTTTCTTTTTTGCTCCAGGGCGGGGTCGCGATACATTATCGCGCTTGGCTCGCACCTCGGCTGATCATCCACCCTATTGGGACACATCTTTGGTGGCCTGTCAGCTCTTTAATGTTATGTGCCGTACAGTCAGATCTGTGTCATCTTCAAAAATGCAATCAGTAAAATTTTTGTCTGTCTGTCTGTATGTTCCTTATAGAAACAAAAACTACTCGACGGATTTTAATAAAACTTAGTACAATTATTCTTTATACTCCTGGGCAGGTTATATGATACTTTTCATCACGCTACAAATAAAAGTAGCAGAGCAGTGAAGGAAAATGTTGGGAAAACGGGAGAAGTTACTCCCTTTTTTAAGTTTCCGTCGCGTGTGTAGCCTTAATGGTTAAAGTTTATAAATTCTGTTACGGAAATATTCTACATAAAATTATAAAAAAAAATGTTTTACAGCACATGTCTATTTTTTATGGTTAACTTACAATAGCACGTGTAACTCATGAAAGCTACGGTGCGAAGGCTTATTATCTGAACTGCTAGTTCAGATAATAAGCCTTCGCACCGTCGTCGCATGCGTATACTGAATCATGCTATAAGGATTATTTTTGGTTGCCGCGCTCGACGTGACGCGGTATATAATATAATATAATAGGTTTTATGAAATAGTTGTAATTCTTACTTATTGGTTAGATCCATACCATTCTATCTATGGACGGACGGATAGCGGAGACTTAGTAAGTAATAGGGTATTTACCCATTGGATATACTTCGATTTTGTTCTATTGCTATAGGCTGCTTTTTATCAATAGAGCACGCGGGCCAAGCCGCTGGCGGAAGCTAGTGGTTAATATAAACATTTAATAGGTGCAAAATTTCACCAATATTATTGTCAAAACAAATCATGCAATCTCATACCTGATTAGTTTATGTTTTGTGATGACTGAGTTCCTATGTCCATCTTCTAACTCTTCTAATGTATAAGCACCTAGCTGTCGATTTGTAACGACTTATACCCCCACTCGATGGGGTTACGTCATATGCTTGCTCGATAGGGTTAAGTATGTTTATTTGAACTGCGACCTCTTTTTGTCTAATCATATAAAACTTTTTTAAAACCCAGGCAGGCACATAATCGTCACTAAGCGCTTATGGAAGAAATAGCTATAAGCTGGCCCCAGCTGGCCCGTAGAAGTCTACCCATTTCAGTAGTTTTAGTACTTACCTAGTTATAGGTGGTATGTAGTATTATTAATATCGTATCATTTTATGAACAAATTTTTAATTACATTTAGTAATGTCATAGTAATGCAACACAAAAACGTACAGAAAATAAATCCCACCTCTTAGGATTAAGAATAGTAGGTATTGTATCCGTTCCTCCGTGAGCTATCAGTTGGAATTATTTATCCGCTGCATTGTAAAAGTGTACCTACTTACGAGACGGATATTGTTAAACGTTTTCCCGCAAAGAGATTTCTCTCTAAACTAAAATGTCATCCGTGAAGACTACAATCCGCAGAAGTATCACAGCACTTTGTTGTTTTTCCCGAGGCTTAGTCCTTTGTTTTCTAAAACCTTCCCGAGCTCCTTTAATACTTTGTAATGGCGGGACAAATTCTGTGTGTCTTGCTCGCTGTCTGCGATGACTGAGTTGAGATGAGCTCTTGTGCCCAAGTGGGTACGTACGGTACTTAGTACATGCATTTTATGAAAACAGCGCAACCTTGCGAAAAAATGTCGTGAGCTTTTACGGCCAGACGTTTTCATAGTTTTATTTTTAGGACTTATTGACAAAAGTAAGGTGTTATTAAAGAAGTAATGTAAATATCTATCTATTACTTTGTCACTAAAATTAAGTGTATATTTTCTTTCTAAACAACACAGATGTTTAGAAGTGCTACGAGCCGCGTAGCCCGTAGCCCGTAGGCTTGTCAACACGTAGCATCGTTGTCGTAGTAGGTACTTACGGACAACATTGCGTGTTTCCGCAACGCACGTTTGCTTCAACGAAGATCAACGAGCTACAGAACATTTAGAGGTTAATGACCTGCATCTTAGCTGACATCACATTTTATTTTTTACGAGGCGGGGTTTTTTTTTGTTATTTAATTAAGTAAGTGTGTTAATTATACATTTTTGTAACAAATTCATGTTAAAAGGATGACGAAAGTTACGAAACGCCTCGTCTTCAAAAGTAGGTTAAATGTTAAAATAGAAAATGTACCAAAATTAAATTTAATATATTGAATTATCAACAAAGCTCTCACGATAATACGACGTCTTTAAAACAATTTCCAGGTTGGAGAGTAAATAACCTACATATCTTAAGTTCGCCTCCGTGATCCAGATGGGTCTTAATCCTACTATCATCGGGGATTTGTGGTAGTTCCATAGTACCGACCTAGCTACAGCTTTGCAAAACCCTTCGTTCCTACAATTTAGGCGTTACAGAGACACATAACGGCATTCAAGTGGTTTTCTAATGACGACCGTTCGTCGCACTGTCAACCTTTATGAAAATTAGGATAACATTCTGAAGAACGTACTACAAAGTATGTTTCTCTTGTACATATCGAAATTAAAATCTGGTAGAGTAATAAATTACAATTAATTGTCCCGCATTATTTAAACAAGTACCTACTTTGTCTACGTACTTGACATGAATAGATTGTGTGTGTAGAACTAAGTACACGGTTACAACAAAGGGAGATAATAGATATCCGTCTAATTCTAACCGGCTGAAAGACCTAATAAGATTTATAGGGCAGAGTAGACAGGTAGCTAGGCAGTATCTCATCCTTTGTATCCGTCCACACAAAAAGTGTAGGCAACGTTAGTCGTCGTCGGTCGCGTGCGTGCGCCGCCGGGATACTTACCGCGATACCATCTTTAATCTTCACTCTTCACACTGTTTGTTACTGAAAAAGGTTTTTTTTTTCGAGAAAAAACTCGTATAAAGCTTTGAAGATAACGGAAAATACCCAGGTACTTACTTCACTAAGTAAGAAAAAACATTTCCTACATAAACCAAGGAAGATTCGGAAACTAAAGCCCGTTGAGGCGGTTAGATCTTAAAACCCAGCTACAATATTTACCTGATTAGAAGCAGTCAGTCCATGCTAACCTCGTTAAATATTAACACAAAGTAGCTACTTAGCACAGTGAAGGTAAATAGTCTATTTTTCTATTGGGTGCACCTTGGGGCATAGAATTTATATCATGTGTTTTTCTTTATCTATGCTTGTAGATACAGCGCCAACAGTGTAGCGGATGAGAGCTTTATAAAAAGACTACGTACAACGCACGCCTTTGTGAACGCATTGAGCCATACATATTAATCGCTTTTATGTAGAAAAACACTACGGACGTCAGACATGGGATGTATATTTTAATTAAAGGTTGGATGGATACTGTGTATGATGACAATTTACAATTTTACAAGTTTCAGAATATAGATATACCTATCATCTATGCATGCTAGAGAATTGAAA